TTTTGATAGAGTTGCCAACTGTCTGAAAATTAAAATGAATTAAACAAAAAATTTGTTAACAAAAAGTTATTCTAAATACTATATATCCTTAGGGCAAATTAATTAACCTTTCATAAAATTATAGAATAATTTTAAAAAATTTGGAATAGAACTTATATTTTAACAGAGCTGTCACTTATTTAAAAATATGTATGATAAATTGGGTAATATAGTTATAATTTTTTTTATCCAAATACATTTTTAATCGAATTGCCAAATGTCAAAAAAGTTATTCTAAATACACATTTTATTAGAGTTTCCAACTCTCTTAAAATTGAAATGAACTTACGATTACCAACTATAAAATATGCTTAGTTAATTCATCAGTCAGAAAGTCATAAAAAAAACTTAAGAAAATTGAAATAAAGCGTATATTTTAACAGAGTCGCCACCCGTTAAAAAAGTTTTTTTTTTAAGTTTGCAATATTGTTAACTAATATATTTTTTAATTTTATTCCAAATGCAGAGTTGCCAAGTGTCAAAAAATCAAAAAGAAATATGTAAATATAATTGAATTCAAGCTAGAGAGAGAACGAAAGAAAGGTTATTTTAAAATTTTGTAATCAAACAGACATACCCACAGTGTTATCCTGAGTTTCGCCTCAAAGCAAATTCATCAGAAATTTTTCCATCCACCCATAGTGAATACGTACGATAGGCGGAAAGAGAAAAGTGAAGGATTTCGGGCGAAATGAAACTCATGATAAGGCTGATAGTGAAAAAATCGTCACACCACTTTTTAATGACAGCATTAGAATTGCCTTTCATTGTAGGTTATAATTCCTGCATAAGGATTATTTTCAAGATTTCCTCCGGATTTTGTCGGGATCATTCGTGTTTTACTCTTCCGAACTTTTTTAAATAACTTGGGGCATTTTTTGCGTTTATGTTATATTTATTGGTTTCGAGATTTTTGGGTAGCTTCGAGATTTTTGCGATTACTTCGGAATTTTCGGATTTCTCGGGATTATTTCGGGATGCTCAGGACTATATGATATTTAAGCACTATTTTGGTATTTTCGTGGCTAATCCGGGAGTTCAAGGAAATTTTTCAGTGTTTTCGGTACTATATGGGATTTTTCGAAACGAGATGAGTAAAGCGTTGAAAGATAAACAAATTAAAAGTCTTCCCAATTTCAATTCTAGATGATCCAACTAAAAAAAAAAAACCAAAAAAAGCTTTATGAAAAATCCTTACGATATTAAAGAATTTAAAAAATACCCAAAAGTCTTAAAAATTAGACAAAAGTGTCATTAGATATGTAGAGTCAGAAAAATCACGGAATACTTGAAAAGATTATATAACTTCTGCAAAATATATAGAGATGAAACACTAAAAACACTGTAAGCACGCTAAACTTACAAAAAAAAAAAAAACGAGACACATAAACTTATTCTTGGTACGTAGTTTATACAGAATACTATTCTTCTAGATCAGGTCATTTTCTCAAGAGATTTTCATTTTATGTTTGCATTGCGAATGAAAAAATGCTCAAACTTTAACATTGGAAAATCTTGCTCATATACCAAGTTAGAATAACTACTTAGCAGAAGCACGTGATTAGTGAATTTCACTTCATTACTTTTCATGTTCATTTGCTATGTTATTTACATCCTTTACTAACTATTTTTAGTGTGTAAATAGCCAACAGGTAAAGTGAAATCATTTAAGCAGCTCTCTACTCAGTACGTGCCTACATAAGTTAAATGTCAGTGCCTTTGTGAAAGGCGTAAAATTTTGCAATTAAAATCAGATCAATCGAAATAAGCGCAATCGATTTGATTTTTTGTTCGCAAAAAAAAAGCGTGAAATAAAAACAATGCGCTGAGCAAATCGGAAAAAATTACAAAAGGGCAAATGTGAATATTTAAAAGCGTATTTTACGTATTTATTAATGCTGGTAGCCTTGAACGCTCTGAGCACTTAAATCATATCGAAGCACATAACCACTTTAGCAATGTACATATGTATGTAAGTTAATGTCAAAGTGCACTTGCAGAATTGCTAAATTTTGCATTCATAGTGAAGAGATGAAGGAGTGTAATTAAAATTCAACTCATTTACCTAATACAAACGAGAAAAAAACTAATGTGCATGGCAATATTAACTGTGCAAAAATAAACTGTGCGCTAGTTTGTGCGACACAAATGGGACTGAAGTGGAATAAAACGATATGACATTGGGAAAGAAAGGTTGCTTTGAAACAAATTTAATGCGGTGAAGGATTCGTTAGCTAAAAAATTTTCGGGAAAGTGTATACGGGGGAAAGTGCATGTCACGAATCTAGAAGAAAAATTCGGTCTTATATTGAGTAAGAGCTGCCGATTGGCAGCACCAACGGTGAAACTCCAATCTCTTAGCTCTCCAGAAAGAGGTCAAACAACTTTTTAGCAGTGCAAAACGAACTAAGTACTGGGACGATTACTCTTCAACGCTAACAATTTTAGGAAATCCCGTGAAGGCATTTCCTCCAACCGGGGGGTAGCCTCACTTTACAGGTGTTAAACCACCACACACAGGAGGACAGTCTATCTGCAAGAAGAACTGGATTTTCTAGCCTTGATGCAAAATCTTTTGCTCCCATGAGCTAAACATCTTCATCCTAAAGCCGATAGAGAAAATTCTGGGTAACCCAAAAGTTCTACGACCCCAACGTCAATGCTGTTACACTATGAGCAATAACTTATTCCAATTACCGGCTACCAAACGGCACGAGCTCTATGGGGCAAGCTAGTGCTCTGTGCATTTTTAGATACTCAAAGTAACATTCGATCTCTAAAGAAAGGACTCCTATTTGCAGATGGAACGAAACCATGCAAGGAACCAGAGAAAATCAAAACCCGATTTCTCATCTCCCACCTGAACAAAGACGATATGGTTAACATAAAAACTTTTGAGAAAAGGTTCCAGAACGAACTAAATATCAAATCAGCCTAGAACCAAAAGGTTTTTCACATATGGCTAAAGAGCTGTCGATATAGTGGCAGGAATATGTAGCCCTAAGGCCAAAATATATATTCCTACGGGGAACTACCGTACCATCCTTCAGAGTTTGTACCATCAGTATAAGCTGAGGTAGTAGATGAACTGATCAGCAAGCTGATAAGCTCCGAAAGAAAAAACACAGCGCATGCATTGAAATAAATGTACTAAATTTACTCTTTCAGCTCAGCTACAAACTTTTTTTTGCACGAAAGGCCTTATGGCTGCTGATGTAAAGGGTAAAGGGTATTTAACACGGTTGCCAACCGTCCCGTTTTCGGCGGGACTGCCCCAGATTTAAGAGCTATGTCCTGGTCCCAGTACAATTCTTGCCGAGACGAAAAAAGTATCGGTTTTTGGCAAGCAAAAAAATGTAGAACTCTTTTAGAAGTAAAATTTGTAATTGTGTCGCGGTTCAAATGAGTGATGTACAAAGTATGTATGTTCGATATTTTTTTTTTTAAGGAAGAAACTATCTGCAAAGAAATCCCCAAAGATCAACACGTTGTTATTACTTTAACACTGGCTCTGTGTTAAACTCAAATGCCAAGTTGTATGCAAATTTATTGAATTTTCCTGAGTTTTGGACGAAGTTAAGGGATTTGTTATGTACTTTGTTGTGGTAAATATGAACAATATTTTAATAAGAAATTCGCGGAAAATTTTAAGCAAAAAATTTTACATACATTGTGAAAAACTCCCTGTTCCAATAATTTAGTGTGAAATTTATAATTTGGTGTGATTTTTATTTCAATTTTAGTAAATGTTATCATTAAGGCTTCGTTTTATGGAAATTTTTGTATATGAAATGTTAATTTTTCGTTTTTTTTTTTTGGGGTTATTTATTATACAAATTATATTAAACCATTTTATTGAGCTTTAGGCCGTTAATAATGAAAATTTTTGCGGAAAAACAACAGTAATTTACATTTTGGTAGAAGTTATAGCTGCTATTTCGGAAATCACCACGTCTCAGACTTCTTCAACCGCCATGACTGGTATATGAACCAGCGACTTTGGGTTACAAAGCCGTGCTAAGTTCGCCAGCTCGCCACGAAATTATTGTTGCCTTTTCCACTTCCAGTTTAAAAGTATAAAAATGTATGTCCAGTTTTTGAGATTACCAAATATCTATACCCTTCTTTCAAATGACCAAAATGTAAATGAATAAATTATGAAAACTTGATGTCCAGGTTTTAAACTACCAAAAGTTTATGTCAAGCTTTCAAAGGACCTAAAATTTATGTCCAGTTTATAAATTATAAAAAAAAAAAAATTCCCAGTTTTTAAATTACCAAAAATGTATGTATATTAATTTTTCCAATGGTCAAAATTGTTTGCTCAGTTTAAAAATTATGAAAAATGTATGTCCAGGGTTTAAGTAGCCAAAACAAAGATTGTTATTTTAAATTATCACCAATAGTTTTAGGTTCTCTAAATCTCCAATTTCCAATTTTTGAATTACAAAAAAATTATGTCCAGTTTTCAAATTCACAAAAAATATTTTCAACTTTTTAATGACAAAAAATTTACACCTAGTTCTCAAATGGCCATAAACTTATGCCCAGTTCTAAAATTGACAAAAATACAAAAATCCAGTTTTTAAGTTTCCAAGAAATTTGTCATAAAATTTATGTGCAGTTTTTAAGTGACCAAAAAAATATTTTTTGTTTATAAATAACTATCAAATTATGTATGGTGTTCAAATTATCAAAAATGTGTGCCCAGTTTTTAAATGTTTAAGAAATATTTGCATAGTTTTTAAATTGCCTAAAAAATTATCCAGTTTTCAAACTTCTCGAAAATTATGGCTTGTTGTAAAATTACCAAAGATTTGTGTCCAGTATTTAAATGATTAAAATGTAAGTCTAGTATTTAAATGACCAACAACTTATGTCCATGTTTCGAATTGCCAAAAAAAAAAATATGTACATACTTTTTTGGAATTTTGGAACATTTGCTCTTTTATTGCACTTACTTGATATGAATGTTATTTCGCTCAGCATTATCCATCGCGCTGCAAAGTACAAATGTATTTGTAAATATTTTCCCAGACGATGATGCAATTTGATTGTCACATCTCGTGCATGATCCAGCACCGTATCGGGCATATAAGAAAATTGCACCGGTTCGCCGGCATATTGACGTCCGCCAATGCTGAAGAAGACCTTGGCGTGCACAAAAACCTGCAAGCAAATTAAATTATGGAGATCAGCAAATGTTTGATAAAAAGAAAAAAATAAAATCACTTCACAATTGACAATTGAAAGATTTTTTAGTGAAGTAAAAAACTCCGTCCCATTCAGTAATGTAGGCCTTTTTAATTCTTCACTCGACTAGTATTTATGTGTCAGAAGCCTCTGCCGATGATATTAGACAAAACCTTCAATTTTCTTTTTGGTAAGGTGGGAGTCCCAAAATAGGACTAAAGAAAAATTTGCCGTTGCTGATCTTTTTTCAACTATTGGAAGAAAAGATGGAAACAACATTTCTTTCTGGTGATTTTGTCAGATTACAATTATTAGGAATCTGATTTTGTGTAAGGGTAAGAGATATTTTTTCTGCTTGTAAATTCTAACCTTGCCGATTCCTGCTTTGGTGAAAACTTACTCGAGCAGTCAGGAAAGGGGGTGCTGCGTGACGTGTTTAGTTCCTTCAGAAGCTGGATATGTATTTTTGGTAAATCTGCTTCAATATTAAGAACATAGTTTGTTACACCAGAGTGACGCATCTCTCATGATCTTCTGCTGCAGGTGGTGGCTGAATTGTGATTATGTTTTTAATGGGACAGGAATTCATGAAACTGGCAACTAACTCTCGGTGAATTTTGTCGACCTTTGCGCATATGTCTGTACACTGTCTGGTCTAAACTAACTAAATAGTTTGCAGAGATAATTTGGGAGGTGGCTTTTGCTCAAAGGAGTGTCAGTGTTTGGCTTACACGACGCAAAACCCGCACATAAGTTGCATGCCTCTTAACTTGGAGCACTATGTGACTTAGTGTAAAGGTCGTGTACACTAAGCCATTCCGAAGTGCAGTATTTCGACAGGCATGTAATCAAATGCTTTGTAAGTTGCCAACACGTTTTTTTGCCTTTTAACCAAGTACTTCCGGCAGAATATGCGGAAGCTTTGTTGCGTCTCTGGTGCTGATTACTCTTGTATATGCTAAGAATGAGAGCGAGCTGCCGTAAGTAAAGCCTACGATTTTCGGGTAATCGACCATAACAAGTCATAACTCATCGATGTGGCGCTTCTTGCAGTAAATAATTGGGGATGGAAGAATCATTAATTCTTCACATTTGATATCACCAATTCTTTTGGCTTGCGTCATTAACGAGCAACTGCTAGCATATTGGATCAGAGAAACTCCCCTCTTGAACAAAAGTAGTGAGAAGAAAACCTTGTAAAATCAACCATCTCCTCTACCCTTACCAGACCTGTTGTCCGTAGGGCATTTTATTTTTGAAACTGGGCTATGAAGCCATCTAGGACAAAGTACATATGTAGTTATTCTTCTCTGACAGCAAAATTGGTTCTTGCTCAGATGCCATGTATTATCTGAGGTTGCCTTCTCTGTGCTTTCGTTTAGCTAAACAAGCTTCAAGATTTCTACTAAACCTCTAGAATTATTTTAATATTTTTTAATGCCTGATTTTATCAAATTTTATTGCAACAATTTGCTAAAAGAGGTTTTAAGTTTTGTTTTGATACCTAGATTTGCGACATGGCTGCATTCCGCGTTACGAAGGAGAACACATGACATACACAGTATATTTACATACGTAATTATTTCCAATTTTCAACATAAAAATGTTCTTGTAAAATGCACCTTCAATGAAGCACTTGAAAAGGGCGATGGGTAATCGGAAATTCGACAGCCTATCGCTTAGCAATATGCTTGCACATATGTATGTACATATGTATATCAACAGAGGTTAAGCTCGTATATAGGGTTGCCAGATTTTTTTTGGCGCGAAATCAGTACATTCGACTTTTCCAAGCTATAAAAATCAGTACTTTTCAGTACACTTTTATTCCAAGCAGAATTATGAATGTTAGTAGCAGATAATACTTTAAAACGCCAGAGTACTTATTTTTAATAATGTCTTGGTATATAAATGAAATGTTGTTCACAAAACATAAAAATGTTATTCTTTTTAGTATGAGTATGCACATTAACATGTAGTATGAAATACCTTTATAATATCATCACAGGAGCCAATAAATTATTTTATATATATGAAATTTTTTAATAGCAATAATAAGATGATTTCCACTTTCAGTGTTTAAATAGTCAAAGAACTCTAAACATTATATTTTAATATTACTTTTAATTTGAAGTTCATTTTCTAAAATTTGAATCGGTTTCTCTCTTTTCGCCAGGAAGCAAACTTTATACTTAAGTAAGTTCCTCTCAGCTGCTTCGTTTAAACGTGATATTTAAAAAAACAAAACTACATATTTATTCAAACTGTGGAAAGATACCTCTATTTAAGGACTGCATCCGTATTGCCTCATGGATTAAATTACCTTTTTCAACTGCGCAAAAACTTTGAAATTGAGTACGTCTGGCAACCGTACTCGTATAATAATTACGGGTGATATAGTATGTATGTATGTATGTATGTATATTTATTAGTCAGGCACGAGTCAGCAAGATCAGTCGATCAAAAATCCATCATCGAAATACAAATAAGTAATTAAATAGGGTTGATAAAATTGACAAGAAATATATTGTAGGAAATTATTCTATATAAAAGGGGTACAAATACTACTTATATGTATGTATATGTATTAATACATCATATATGTATGGCACTAAGTTTGTGTGATAGAAGTCTGTAAGTTAGGCATAAATATGTCAGTCCTTTGTGAGCTTGATATGGCGCGAAGTTAATAGAAATGAGAAAAAGTACGTACTCGCATGTATGTAATACATATGTATGTAACGGGTGATTTTTTAAGAGCTTGATACCTTTTTTTTTTAAAAAAACGCATAAAATTTGCAAAATCTCATCGGTTCTTTATTTGAAACGTTAGATTGGTCCATGACATTTACTTTTTGAAGATAATTTCATTTAAATGTTGACCGCGGCTGCGTCTTACGTGGTCCATTCGGAAAGTCCAATTTTGGGCAACTTTTTCGAGCATTTCGGCCGGAATAGCCCGAATTTCTTCGGAAATGTTGTCTTCCAAAGCTGGAATAGTTGCTGGCTTATTTCTGTAGACTTTAGACTTGACGTAGCCCCACAAAAAATAGTCTAAAGGCGTCAAATCGCATGATCTTGGTGGCCAACTTACCGGTCCATTTCTTGAGATGAATTGTTCTCCGAAGTTTTCCCTCAAAATGGCCATAGAATCGCGAGCTGTGTGGCATGTAGCGCCATCTTGTTGAAACCACATGTCAACCAAGTTCAGTTCTTCCATTTTTGGCAACAAAAAGTTTGTTAGCATCGAACGATAGCGATCGCCATTCACCGTAACGTTGCGTCCAACAGCATCTTTGAAAAAATACGGTCCAATGATTCCACCAGCGTACAAACCACACCAAACAGTGCATTTTTCGGGATGCATGGGCAGTTCTTGAACAGCTTCTGGTTGCTCTTCACTCCAAATGCGGCAATTTTGCTTATTTACGAAGCCATTCAACCAGAAATGAGCCTCATCGCTGAACAAAATTTGTCGATAAAAACACATTTCGAACCGAACACTGATTTTGGTAATAAAATTCAATGATTTGCAAGCGTTGCTCGTTAGTAAGTCTATTCATGATGAAATGTCAAAGCATACTGAGCATCTTTCTCTTTGACACCATGTCTGAAATCCCACGTGATCTGTCAAATACTAATGCATGAAAATCCTAACCTCAAAAAAATCACCCGTTATGTATGTATGTACGTCTGTAGTGATATGATTGTAGCGCTTATTTAGTTTTCCATACAGTACTCGTATAGTTGTTTTTTACTGTTTGCCTACCTTTCAGTTCTTTGAAATGGGCTAATCAAAATACATACATATGTACATACATAAATATGTTTCACGTAATTTGCACATACATATCCATGTACCTAGATAGCTACATACATACCGCATATGTATATTTTCTTTGGTTATTCTATCCTTCGTGTACAAATAAAAATTGTTGAAAAAAGATAATAATAAAAGTACAAAGCATAAAGCATGTAATTGCTTTGAGATCCCTTTGGATAAGCAATAGCTAAACATACAATTATTTATGGAATTTAGGCCACGCGCGTTCAAGCTAGGCGCAAAGTAAAATCAATAAATGGCAACCACTGTTGTGTTTATTACTCGCTGATAGGAGATACTACTTAATAATTTGTGTTGTCCTTAGTTTTGTGCCGTTTGGGAGCGAGGTAAAGTGAGAAGGCGTAAAACTTTGCGTGCGCTGGGTGTGGGTCACGCCACGTTAAATCCCCGCCCAAAGAAAAGAAAAAAAAAACAGCCTCGGATGAAAGCTAGATTCTTCAACATCTCGCACAACTGCGCCCATGCCTCGACGGAAGAGAAGGATCAGGCGTCCAAGGATCTCTTCTTCGTGCTTGGCGATTTTAAGCCAAGGTGGGCAAGGAAGTGATCTTCGGAACCACCGTCGGAAAATTCAGCCTCCACGACGAAACGTCCGATAACGGACTGAGGCTGATCGACTTCGACGGTGCTCGAAACATGGTAATATGTAGTACTAGGTTCCAGCATAAGAACATCCTCCAAGCTACATGGCTGTCTCCAGATCAAAAAACGAGAAACCAAATCGATCATGTTGTGATAGACGGAAGGCATGCTTCAAGCGTTTTGGACGTACGTACACTCCGAGGGTCAAACATCGACTCGGACCACTATCTTGTTGTAGCCAAGATACGCACCCGCCTCTGTGCAGCAAAAAATGTGCACCCAAGAATGCAAGGAAAGCTTAACGTCAAAAAGCTGCAATCACAGCAGACGGCCAATTTATTCGCCACTCGACTCACACACCTGCTCTCTGAGAGCACTCTTCAACAATCCGACATACACGAGCAGTGGAATCGATCATCTAGTACCGCCGCCGAAGAAGTAGTTGCATTTCAGAGAGCCCGAAAGAATAACTGGTACGACGAGGAATGTTAAGAAGCCGCAGAGAAAAAAGATGCCGCCTACAGGGCCACGCTGCGATCGGGCGCAACGCGAGCCATGTGGGACCGTTATAGGGAACTGAAGAAGGAAGCGAGACGTATTTGCCGCAATAAGAAGAGAGAGGCGGAAATACGTGAGTGCGAAGAGCTTGAGATGCTGGTCGACTTTAAGAACACCCGAAAATTCTGTAAGAACAACAATGGCGACCTAGTGACCGATGTCCAGAATATACTTAAATTGTGGAGGGAACACTTACAACCTACTGAATGGTAGCAGCGCTGAAAATAGTGAAGAAGACGAACCCGAGTGCCCAGCCGATGATGATGGAGTAGCTGTCCCACCGCCTGACTATGACGAGGTATGGCTAGCGATTACGCGGCTGAAAAGCAACAAAGCTGCTGGAGCTGACAGTCTGCTAGCCGAGCTATTCAAGTATGAGGTGCATGCATCAGCTCGTATGCAGAATATGGTCAGATGAACGCATGCCCGACGACTGGAATTTAAGTGTACTCTGCCCAATCCACAATAAAGGCGACCCCGTTATACGCGCCAAATACCGCGGAATCAGCCTTCTAAACATAGGCTACAAGGTCTTATCGAGTGTATTGTGCGAAAGACTGAAGCCCACCCTCAACGAGCTGATTGGACCTTATCAGTGTGGCTTTAAGCCTGGAAAATCCACCATAGATCAGGTATTGACAATACGCCAAATCTTGGAAAAGACCAGCGAGAATAGGATCGACACACACCATCTATTTGTCGATTTCAAAGCCGCTTTCGACAGCACGAAGAGAAGTTGCCTTTATGCCGCGATGTCTGAATTTGGTATCCCCGCGAAACTAATACGACTGTGTAAAATGATTGCTCAACGTCACCCACCAGCTCCATCAGAATAGAGAAGGACCTCTCCGAGCCGTTTGATACCAAACGAAGTTTCAGACAAGGGGACTCCCTTTGGTGTGATTTCTTTAATCTGATGTTGGAGAAAATAATAAGAGCCGCAGAATTGCACCGCTCAGGCACAATGCTTTACAAGAGCGTACAATTGCTGGCGTATGCCGACGACATCGATATTATCGGTAAAAACAAGGGCTACGTCTGTTCTGTCTTCTAGCGATTAGATAGGGAAGCAAAGCGAATGGGATTGGTGGTGAACGAGGACAAAACGAAGTATCTCCTGTCATCACACAAACAGTCAGAGCATACGCGCCTTGGCACCCACGTCACTGTTGGCGGTTGCAAGTTTGAAAAAGTAGACGACTTCATTTATTTCGGAACCTGCATTAACACCAATAATAATTTCAGCCTTGAAATCCAACGGAGAATCACTCTTGCCAACAAGTGCTACTTTGGACTGGGTAGGCAATTCAGGAGTAAAGTCCTCTCTCGAAGTACGAAAACCACGCTCTATTAGTCACTCATCATGCCCGTGCTGGTATATGGCGCAGAAGCATGGACAATGACAACATCCGATGAGGCGGCTCTTGGAGTGTTTGAGTGAAAGATTTTGCCGAAGATTTACGGGCCTTTACGCGTTGGAGACGGCGAGTACCGCAGACGATGGAACAATGAGCTGTATGAGCTTTACAACGATATAGACATAATGCAGCGAAATAAAGTTCAGCGGCTCCGCTGGCTTGGCCATGTCGTTCGAATGGACAGAAACGCTCCTACTCTGAAAATATTCAACGCGGGCCGCGATGCTGGTAACAGAGGAAGAGGAAGGCCTCGTGTGCGTTGGAAAGACCAGGTGGAGAAGGATAACAATAAGCTCATACACTTCTTCGGTTACCATCAAATTAAACACATCGATAGGTTCCATTGAACAGACATTAACTTCCGGTGTATTATTTGTAGATGTTGACTCAAAAGTGAAGGACTTCAAAGACGCTCCACTTACATTATTCTAGATATTTAGGGTTGGGTTTGTAGAAACACCATGTTCAGACTGAGCATCTGTAGACGATGATGAATCTACCTCCAATTGTTCGCCCGAATTGCTGGAATCAAAATCTGATGGGACATAGTCATACGATCCAGACGGTTCAAAGTCAGTACGATCGCTCCCCTCCTCCCCCTCCTCCCCCTCTTCCTCCTCGTCTCGATTGCGACTTCCATAAAAAACGCTTGGTTTTACTGAATAATCTCTATTCGCCATTTTAAAATTTAAATGAAATAACAAAGAATAATAGAAATAAAAAGTTAAAATTACTGATGTGACCTCCGGTGGGTCACACGGCACTACTTATATACATGTATAAGCCATGTGCCAAGTAACCCACCGGTAGTCACCCTCTTTAAACACACAAATTACAGCAGAAAATATTAACAAAACACACTCAGTATATAACTACTACGTAAAGATGACTTTAAAACAAAAAAACTTTATTGGCACCTGGTGAACGGTTTTTGTTTTGTATGGCGGCAGCGAACGTGTTAAATAAGTTTTTTCTTTTTTCAAATATATTTATTATTTTCTTAGTTTAATTTTCTTTTAATTTTTAGATTTTATTGTTTTAAAAAGAAAAATTTCATTAAGTTTTTATTTTGTTTAATTTTTTTTTTCTTTTGTTATATTTTAAATTTTTAGATTTTGTTCGAAAATAAAAAAATTTTTTTTTTTTCAAGTACTATTTTCTTTTTTTTTGATTCTTTTTTTTCTATGTTTTAGATTTTGTGCTTATAAAAAGAAAACAAAATTTATTTCATCTAATTTTTAATTTTTTTTTATTTTTGCTTTATTTTCTTTTAATTGTTTATATTTTTTTATTTTCGTTTTTATAAGTTTTCATTATTTTGAAATGAGATATATATATATTTTATAAATTTAGATTTTTAAAAAGGTTATTGCTAAAAGGCGAAAAGAATAGCGCTAAGACCTGCTCGTTAGCACATCTTCGATCGATTAGTCTTTCGAAAGACAGGAAAGGGCTTTCAAAATAGTTGCCAGTAGTGACCATTGTCTTACAAAATACTTTTGTCGCTCTGTAATACAAGTATTTTTTTCCTCACCTGCACATCCTTGGAAAACATATTGTTCGTATGCAATATGACAGCGCTGAAATTTCGTACGCTTTCAAATTCGAACGTAATTTCCACCGGATTACCAACTAGATTAGGGGTATCATTTCGCCAGCCAATCCACTCGAAACCTAGAGGTAAAATGTAAAAAAACTGTTATTATTACGAGTTTAAGTTTTCAAAGTATTTTTCGGGTTTACAATTGAACCAAAATAAAAGGTAAACAATTAAAAAAACATTGAAGTAAGATTGGTCTTACTGATGGGTAAACTTAAAAAATAAAAACATGTTTAAATGTACCAGCAACCTTAAAAAGCTGCAACATTACAAATTATTGCTTTCACAGCTTGCTTCGATAGCTTAACCTTATTCATTGATCTTTATTTTGACTTTATTGAAATTTGAACTTCAGCAATCCCACCTTTTCCAAATCCATGTATATCTGTTCGAAAATTATCCTTGCCCTTTTGTCCATCTACTAATTGTCCCAATCCATCTACATAGCGATCGCCATCTTCATGACCGTCATACGTCTTGTCCGATAAATCAATTTCCATGCCACGCTGAACGCCTTTGGGTATGCTATACGAAACGATGCCATCTGTGTAGGATAAAATAAGAAATTTCGTGTTTTTTTTATACAAATCTTCGCATATAAATAATAAATATAATTAAAAAATGGTTTTGAAAAAGTAGAAATATAATATTACGAATTTTGGAAAAATGGTTTCTTTTAAAGATATTTAAGTAAGTGAAGGGTAGAAATCTTAATTGCTAGTAAATATTGCTAACACCCAACTTGGATCTTTGACTACAGTCGATATTTCGATTCTCTATGATATTGAGGATATACATATGTACGTATGTATATTCCTTGAGCAGAAGTAGTCTTGTCTATAACCTACTTGCGTGGACTATGTATTTAAAAACTTTTGCAATGCCAAAAATCTGATGGCTGTGGCTACTAGCAATGCTAAGACACTATGAAGTATGTATGTAAACATGTCGGCTTCTCGAATAGTAAGGCGGCGGTTGAAGTTTGTGAAGGAAACTTTCCAGGGCAGACATTTGTTAGTTGATTTTAACCAGAGAGCTATTTTTGAACCAAGAGATGTCATGCTAGTGCAGCAAAAGCATAATTCGAAGTGCTTCTGACCATGGATCGGGTGAGGATCCTTCTAAGGCTAAAAAATTCTAAAAAATTTTTGTTTTAGGAAAATTCTGAGTTCAGTGATTGATATGAGCTTACGGAAAACTGCCTAAGATCGGTTGGTTGTTTGCCTGGGCAGTTTGTTAGTTAGTAGGTAGGCTAGATGGGTGCTTGGTTGGTGAATATGGCGTTTGTTGAGAACAAACCAATTAGCACTAAGTAAGTTTTGTTCTATAACGACAACTGAAAATAGTCAATCGTTAGATCAAAATCTTAATTAAATCCACTGGGCATATGTCGCTTAACTCATTTAGAGAAGGAAAGGAAATATTTTAAGGACACAACAGAACAAAGGACGCAATAGACAGTTACCATTACATACATATATCGTCGTTTAAAGTACCAAACCGCGTATCGTCATTCTGCAAAACCGCGTAACTGACATTGGCTGCAAAAAATTGGATTTGCTCACACAAGCTCTTGGCTCTATCCTTATCCATTCGTCCGGAAATATACTAGGCGGAAATGCGATTGCTTTATAAAAAAGAGAACCATTTTGAAATATGAAAATAATTTCTACAACTTCACATACGCGGTTTTGCATTTTGTTGATACGCGGTTTTGCACTTTAAACGGCGATATATTATCTATATACTTATCTGAACCTGAGTACAACTGGGTAAAAAGCCCTATACGCGTTGAGTTTACCGACGCTATGAGATGTTGCCAATGTAGGTATTATCTATCACCTGTCACTGTTATAAATTTTTATCAAAGAAGTTGCTTCACTAGGTGACATGAGACTATTGTATGGAAGGCATGCGAGTATGGAAAGTGAGTATTTATAGACATGGCAGCTTTTTGCATTCTTTCAATAATCCGGTTGCTCGCAGTTAGTAATAGTTCCGTTGCCGGAAAAATTGTTCCATAAAAACTTCGATACCGATTTTTTTTTTTTATAAAATTGTAAATAAATTTGTTTCTGATGAAGACCTTCGTAATAACTATTTTTATGGACCGCTCGAAAATTACTTGCGCTGTGGGAACGGGGATCTTCAATTAGATATGCCTCTGTGGCTTAGAGATTTATAGAATGACTGAGAATAGGCATAGTGGTTTTATCAGACAATAAGTCTGCGAAAAGGGTCCTTGGCTCTGTGAAAGTTATTACCAAACTAGGAACACAATGCAGACAGAACGTTACGGTTTTAGCCTGCACATTTAATTGTGCGTTAATCTGTTTACTGGGTGTGTGAAATAGCTAATGAGCTGGCCGAAATTAAGAACCTGGAAATTTCATGAAAAAAAAATCCTAACAGATTTGGACATAAAAAACCGATTTGAAAACCACGTCCATTGACATTTGAATTTCAAAGCGTATTGGAATTTGAGTTTAAGCCATATGAGGGCTTTAATGTCGGTATAAACAAGGAATTTATCTCTCCGAAGATAGGAATTCAACGCAGAATGGTTCTAACCTACTTGGCCCCGCGATGTACAAATAAGGTAGACTGGGTTCCCGGGCACAGAAATGCTCCGGGAAACAGCATTGTGAACGATCTGGAAAGGAAACGAACTAAGCTGTAGTCAATCAATTCTGCCCCAAGTGCCGGCAAGTCAAATATCTTCAAACCAATTTTGACTGAGATCTGTTTTCATTGAACAGGAGAGCTGGTTTTATCAACGGAAACTGTTCAGTGGGAATATATATGGAGAGCGTAAGGGCTTACGTTCATATGACTTCTATCGCAGTTGCAGGAAAAAGAAGGAGGTAAAGAGCATCTCTGCTGTGAATGGGAAAATAAATAAAAAGTAGATGGGGCACTTATCAGGTTACGCTTTCCAACTTTTTTTGTATTCTATGCTCTTTCTATATACTTTGAATCTACTACGCTACAAAACATATATTAAATGCATTTATGTATGGTATCGAATCAAAAAAAGTACCTTTAAAAATCGAGTTTTAAGACAAAGGACAAAAGAGATTAAAAAAAAAATAAATAAAGTCAAGGAACAGCATCTAGAGAAAATGGAAATAAAGTATGGATGGTCACCGTAGCCAAGCTAGAATCTCCGCATTTTCTATTGCAGCTCCTGGGCTCACCAAAAGCGGAAACATATGCAATAATGCAGAGAGTGGAATGTAAGGAACTTTTGGTCAAAGTTTCAGCAAATGTTTTTGTCTTTTTCTAGTGGCCGCGTACCATTCTAGAAAAAGGTGTTGAATTGGTGCCGCCACTGTATCGCAGAAATTTCATGACGCCGGGTTAACTCCTTAATGTGGGATCCCAAACTGCGATGGACTCTTAGTAGGTACAGGTACTGTGGTTTTAGATTCAAATTTAACTGTATGCCAAGATGTGAAGGCTTTTTATGTACATACAGTGGGCAGCAGAAATGAGTACATGGTAATTTCTGTCAAATATTTACAAAGTTTTTAAAGTTAAGATTTTGTTTTGTTTGTTTTTTTTTTTTGATAAAAATATGATACATGCTTTTAGCAAAACCATATAAATCAAACTTTCAAACTTTATACAGAGCTTAGAAAATTAAAAAAAAAAATTCATAAAAATTTTAAGCTTTTTATTTTTTTGAGTATGCCCATTAAATTTTAGTATAATAAAGTGTACGACTGCAATATCACGTTGATTTTTAGTGTTTTTTTTTGCTGGCGACTTTTGCGGGCTTTTTCACATAAAAAGTGCAAAAAGCGGCATTGATTTTTTTTAAATTTTCTTGGCAAACGGTTTGCGCATTTTCTTCCATAAGAAAAAATATTATAGATCAACGCTACCAAACTGCATATTTAAAAAATTCAAAAAAATCAGATTAAAAAAGTTAAAAATTTTAATGAAAATTTGTTAAATTTTTCTAAGCTCTGCATAAAATTTGAAAATTTGATTTATATAGTTTTGGTAAAAGCATGAATCATATTCTTATGAAAAAATAACAAAAAAATGTTAACTTTCTCCATATTCTCAACATTCTCAAACATGTACATATCGATCGCTAAGTAGAAGATGGACCTATGTATCTCGGCAAACAGTTCGAAAACGCCCTATCTCAGAAAATTTTTCAACAAAGCGCTACTTCGGAATTCTATTGAAAAACACTCTATCTCAGAATTTTGTTCAATAACGCCCTATCTCAGCTGGTGATTTAAAAGCGCCCTATCCCAGCTTATTTTCAATGTAGTTTCGTTTGAAGTAAGGCGTTTTTGAACCGAATTCTGACATAGGGCGTTCTTCAAACAAAATCTGACATAGGGTGTTTTTCAATAAAATTCTGAAGTAGGGCTTTCTTGAAAAGTTTTCTGAAGTAGGGCGTTTTCGAACTGCCTGCCGACATATGTGGGTCGATCTTACACTCAGCCATCGATAGATTCTTGTATGTTTATCTATTCAATCGCAAACAAACAATATTCGTACACTTTAAAGGCTAATCAATATTTTATTCGTTCAAGTCAAATGTGTGACATCAGAAATGATTCATAGTTTTCATAGTCACTAGCGTTACAGCTTTGAGCTCTCTAGTTGCCAATTCGCCATTGAAAACAAATATGCAGCGACAGCAAAAATGTTGCATTTGCATTCGATTGCTTTGACAAGGTTGAAAAGCTAAATATTTTTCTTCATTCTGCTCTGCAGAAGTGTTCCATGTGCCGACGACTGATGCACAAAGTACGTATATAAAATTCATGTGGATGCATAAATCGAGGGATGGATGTAAGCATAGTAATATTTGCATACACATTAGGGTGGTCCAAAAATTCATGTGAAAAAGTAAAGTCGGAATTTTTATGCTCTCACACACTAGCATTGTTCAATAACGAAAAAAATATACCCTTATTTTTTAATTTGAAATCAAAAAATATTTAGAGGTCGCTGAAAGCGCGCAAAGTTGAAAAAAAACCTTTCGTAAAAATGGCATAGAATTCTTGAAAATCAATTTTTTCGATCGGAAATCTTTGTTTCTCTATAGGAGATTCCCTGTAATAATACCCAATTAATTATTTTAGTTTTATAGGTCCGCCAAAACCCCCATAAAATGCCAGAAAATGCAATGGGGTGGGGAGGGGGGGGATAAAACATACATGGAAAACTTTGAGCGCTTTGAGCGAGCTCTAAATATTTTTTTGATTTCATAAGAAAAATCCTATGGGGTGAGAGCATTAAAATTCTCACTTTTCTTATTTGGGACCAGCCTAATATTCATACTGGATGAGAAAATGCAAAGCGACAAAGTGAGATTTTGCATGCGAACATATGTACATATGTACATTCATACAATAAAAAATCCGATAAATGCTTATAAGTAGTATGTACGTACATATTTGTTTGCATTACAGATTTCAATAGAAAATGCATATTTATTTAAGAGAATATACATTTTTTAACGGGTCTATATTCCTAATGGCGATGGTTGTTGTAACTAATCTTTTATATTTCTGCGATCTAAAAGCCATACTCTTACTTTTTGCCGATAACATCAAGGCAGCGATCCTTGAAAATTTCTAAATGTGCCTTAGTTAAATATCTTAAATGGTTAAATTTTCATACTGCTATATTTAATTTATTTCATGAACATAAAATTATTTCAGGGTGCTATTACTATTTTATAAAAATACTCACCTTCCCAAAGACAGCCGACCACTTCGGCCCTCAAGCAGACAGTGCGATCGTATTGACTATATGGATAAATGCGCACCTTAGAGGCGAAAATGGTCGGCTGCAAGACATTCTCCACTTCACTGTAGGTGTTAATGTTGCCTGGCAAGATCTGAAAGAGAGAAATAAAATATACATACATACATATTTAAGTTCTATTAAGTTAAGGAGTATGATCTTAAAAATATATTAAATAAGTAGACTAAGTTCTATCTACATAATCGGATAGTATACCAATACTTGTCATAGAACTCAATGAATGCTAGACCCAGGAAGCGTGGGTATAGTGTACGCTGCCTTTATGAGCCGAATATATCTATATATATGTAGATATATAGTACTTCGGAGGGGGTTAAGTCAGAATAAGTAGGAGGTGTGCATGCTAATGTACCAAGACCTAAGTTTTGCCAGTGTAGCGCGGTTTTCGAAGCAGTAGAAGTTCTTCCCAATGAAGGAAGCGAGACGTATTTGCCACAATAAGAAGAAACAGGCCGAAATACGTGACAGCGAAGAGCTTGAAAAGCTGACCGGCAGGAAAAACGTACGAAAATTTTACCATAGCGTTAGGCTACTTAGTGAAGTTTATAAAGACCGCGGCGAACTCCTGTAAGAACAACTACTGCGACCTGGTTATCGATGTCCAGAATATACTTGAATTATGGACGGAACACTTTTCCACCCTACTGAATGGCAGCAGCACTGAAAGTACCTCGTACATGCAGCATAGACCAGGTATTCACCTTACGACATATCTTGGAAAAGACTGGAGGGAAAAGGACGAGGGAACACCGAGATTGAATGATACCAAAGGCGACTCTTGAAGATTTAGTGTTCATATCAATCATCGTGAGTATTTAAGCTCAGTGCATTGCAAAGCAAAACAGCGACACACTTCATACGCACACTCGTTGAACTTATACAAAAAGTGTTTATTTTTCGAAGGTCGATCAGTATGAAATAAGATAAACATCAGTTTACATGTGCCAAAAGGAATCAAAAAAAAACTAAAAACTAAATCTAAAGTCATATACATATGTATATATGTATGTATGCATTTTTAATTTCCAATTGCTGGGTGTAGCTCTCATAATTTTTCCCGCGACACCTACACAATTTGCACTGCACGCATGGCAAAAAATGCCAAAGATTAAATGGGTAAGTAAGTAAATAAATTAAATAAGAAAACGAAAATATTGTTGTTACAGGCGGAACAAGAATTCAACAGCACAAAGCGAGGAATCAAAGAAAGCCGGACTACATGAGCCAGCAAAGCCGTGGTGTCCGACCAGCCAGCCAGCGAGCGCTAGGTACTGGCAGATGGTATAGGCATGCGATTGTTATCCAAGTGATTAATGTGTGAATATGGGCGCGCGAATGTGCGATTATCATAGCTTCGAATAATAATATGGCCTAGAGCTAAAACAATAACCAAGGCGGGCGAGGTATAAAGCAAATATGTATGTACATACACATATCTTAGTAGTAATAACAAGAAGAGGTGTTGGAGCTGGGATAAAAATGAATGTAGTAGGTGGAACAAACAAAGTGTGGGAGACACTTTTTTTTTAATGGCAAACGTGAACAATGCAACTAACATTGTGGCTATGTTTAAAGCTAGGATGAAGGTGTTTGGTTACATATTAAGATTTATGGAAACGTACCTATACACAGACATTTTTAAAAGTAAATGAGTATGCATACACTGTGTACATGCACATTTGTAACTGTAGCGCGTTGTGCAAAGAATAATATACCACTGTATACTAGGGTGGTCGATTATTCGCCTTTTTCAAAAACCCGGTTTCGAGTTATTCCTGATTTTGAAATTAAGAAAAAACCGGTTCCTGATTTCGAAATTAAGAAAAAAACAGATGCGCCGCACAGTGCTTTGGAAAACTACTTTTACTGTGTTACAAAGAAATTGTCGAAAATTCAGTTTTTAGTGTAACTTAATAGTTTTGTTTACTACTATACGTACAAAAAACAGAAATAATTTTTCGTAAATGTTTTTTATGTAAAATTGGTTTGTGCTATCGAACATTTTTGAGATGTTTTTATTGGAATTCCTAAAAATTTCTAAATTTTGGTAGAGTGAAATAAAAACAAAAATTTAAAAGTGCCTAATTGTTTATGTTTTTTTTTTGGTACGTTTTAAAGTGCTTTAATAGAATCTGTGAAGAAATTTTAGATTATTCTGCCGGAACGGTTAAAATTTGATGAATTTTTTAAGCCCTATTTCTTAAGTATTTGTCAGAAAAGGTTACAAAGAGCTAAGTTTATGGTATTGCCAAAATTGCAACAGATTAAGGTATTGAACTTTTTTTTATACTTTAAAAATCGAGCCTAGTTTTGATGTAGTGTGTGTATAATTTTTATTAAATAGCGACAAAAGATAATTAAAAAATTAGAAGTAATAACTGTTTTTTTTGGCGGAAACCTTAAATTTTGAAAAATTTTGACAAAATTAAAAACATATATAAAAAAAAGTTCGCCAACTTTTATTTTTCATTTAAATATTTCGTTAAGAGACTTAACAATTAGTAGGAAAAAAGTTTAAAATTCTCTTCCGGAAATTGGAAACCAAGAATTTTTTTAAAACATATAATTTTTTTAATTTTACCAAAGACATAAATATTAACTAATATATAAAAATTTCGTGTCACAAAAAAAAAATTAAGACAAAATTACGACGGGGATTGATTGAAGTCTTATTGAGAGTCTTATTAAAAGTTTTATCCTGCGGTTTTCGGTTAATGTTAGAATGTTTAAGGAGCTGCTAAATATTACTAGAAACTCATATTTAATTCAATATGGCTATATTACATACCAATAGGTTTTAGTAATTACATGGATGTGAGGTTTTGGAACACTTCAACTTGTCAATAGGTTATAAAAAAATTAAAAAATATTTTAAGCAATTTTTTATTACTATTTTATTGTATTGTGTTTGTCCGAAGAAGCCTTAGAAGCCAGTCATAAAAATATAAGGAATATGCGATTTTCCCATACAAAAAAAACGACGAGAGATTTAATGGCTAATTTGTTATTAATGGCGGATTCGGAACTATCATCACTTAGATCTACAAAAAAAATAAAAAATAAATATGAAGTAAATGAAATATATATTTTAAAAGATAACATTATAGATTACATTTGAAATCTCATCAATTGAGCAAATTTAGAAACATTTATTTTTTATTTTTTATAAAATATTAAATTATAATTTTTTTTTCAATAAATGAAATTCATAAGGGAGGTAGTCATTTCCTGATACTAAATAAAACAAAATTTACCATAGAGTTAAAAAGTATAGTTTTATAAGCTATTATTAGTCCTAAGTACACTCCGATCACAAATAAGGCTAAAATCTCGTTTTTGAAAAAAAAAAAATATATATGGGATGTACCGAACAAAACGAAATTCCACAGAGCTTAAGCACACAAATCCACAGACAGCTACCAATTTTCGATTTATTCTGTTTATAATTGTTGCTAAAATTAAACCTTTAAAATTAAGGTAGTCATGTCCTTGAACCGATTTCGCCAAAACTTCGATTTTTTTTTTTAATTTACATATTTTAATTTTGCGGATTCACTGTATGGGGGCGAAGCACTGTGCGCCGGTTGTATTTTACATTGTTTTCATACGGAAAATACTTTTGTTGGTATGAAGTCATGACCAAAAATTTACAATAAAGATAGCTTTTATTTAGAAAAGAGCAAAGCTAAATAAGTACAAAGTTGGTTTTTAGATTCAAAAGATTCACGTTTGGCCTTATTTTAAGTTTTTTAATATTTTATTGCATTCTTCCGTACTTTATTCGGTTTTGGGTAGTGCTATCGTCGCCATTGCCGCGTACTTGGAGGTGCCTACTGCTGCTCGGCAGGTCCATGATTCGGCATACAATGGCAAACCTCCGAGTGCATTTCTGCTATAAAAAAGTTTCTTCGAAGGTGGCGTAAAAGTGTAGATCTCTCCATTTTTTGTAACAACATCAAGAGGAAGAACACGAATTGGAAAAGAAGCTCGGCCAAATACCAAGAAAACGTTTAAGCGCAAAACATTCATTTATTGGAATCAAATCTGATACGGTTATCGTCTTATGATTCTGGCCAACCTCAGGTATAACCTAGGATATAATTTTAAAACTATTTAGGGGTTTCCGGTAATTAGAAAAAGCCTTGAAAACTCTGAAAAACTCGAAGATTTGTATGAAATTAAAAAATACCGGTTTGTTGGAAAACAAAATCCGGTTTTTCGAGAAATTAAGATTTCAAAAACGCACCTATAGATATCGGTTTGGAAAAACCGAATCAATCACCCCAGTATTAAGAGATGCCTAAATACTAATGTAGGGTATTTAAGAACTAGGGTATTTAAGAATTGTGGAATCTGCTATCTATACATAACTAGTATAAAGGAAAGCCCAGATTCTTTAACATACTAATCTCAAAAAAAAAAAAACAACTGCACGGATTTGAACGAGATTTTCTCTAATGTATTCGGCATCGATAGCAGAGTGAACTTTAATATTTCTAAATTCTATAGGGTTATCACCTGTCTAGAAAAATTAAAAAAATCGCACCGTTCGCTGGATTATAAAAAATGAGTTGTCAAAAGAAAGGGATTGGCCTCTAGATAAGCACTAATGTTTTATTTTATTTTTTTTAATAAGGTTGCCACCTGTTAAGAAAATTACTATATACAATCTTAATAAGCTGATAAGGTATCAGTTTTGCACCGTCACTGTCAAATGAATAGACTTGGCCTCTAGATGTTTAATAACGCATTATTTTTTTTGAGTAGGGTTGCCACCTGTTTAAAAATTATAAGATCTTCACCGGTCGTCAGAAGAAAAAAATGAGGTTCCAAGTAAAATCTCTGGATGTGCAACAAGCGTTTACTTTTTTTTAGTGGGCTTGCCATCTATTTAAAAATTACTAGGTATGTACCTTAAATAAGATGCGTGAAGGCATTTTTGTTAATTATATCAGATTTGCACAGTTCATTCAATTTAAAAAAAAACGAGGTATGAAAGGCAAGGCCTTGGCCTTCATATATGCAATAAGGTTCAATTTTTTCGAAGAGGGCTGCCATCTGTACGAAAAATTATAAGATATGGGCTGTTTGTTGCGCTAAAAAATGCGTTGTCAAATGAAAGCGTCTGGCCTCCAGATGTGCAATAATTTTAATTTTTGTTTTAATAGGGCTGTCGCCTGTCTAAAAAATTGTAAACTCAACACGGTTCGTTGCCTTAAAAACGTAAGGTGGTAAGGAATTATTTATGTGATGCAAAAAACTAAATACTTACACAAGTACTTAAGATGTTTAGGGTATGCTAAATACAACCAAGGTATTTAGTAGACTTCCAAATTCGAAATGGTTCAGAAAAAGAAAAAAATGCGTAAAATTCACTGTGCCAATACTTAGGTTCGTCACTGTATGTCTATATATACTTTTCTCTTTTACCCACCTCTTTGCCTTGTATGGTCTTCCAGCGTAGCCATTTCTCAAATCCAGGACGCCAATACTCCAGCACATAGGCCTCTGTATACTCTTGACCTTGACCTTTGCCAAAACGACCTTGGGTGCGTATCGCAGTAATGACATACACCTGTAGCAAGTCAATTTGTAAATACTCTTTGAGGCCACGCGATACCATGTGTTTTGGACACCAAGCACCGCCATTATTGTCGACCTTCAATCTGAAAGATAAGAAAATATGAAAACAAAATTAATATTAGTCCGTAAAAGTGGGTAAATGTGTAGCGAGCTACAGCCACACATACATATATATTATAAAATATTAATTATGCAAAGTAATAAGTAGTTCATTTGCAGCATAAGTTCAATTAAAAATTCATATAGCAACATACGCTTCAATGGAGCAGCAATGGCTGGCACACCTGCCTCGGTAATTATGAATATATTTTTAAGTTTGTATATGCTGCTATGATTAATCGTTTTTTTTTTTTTGTGAATTCATTATTAAGGTAATTTATTTGTAATTGATACCCCACTACTTTGCGATTAATTTTATTAAAATAAAAATAAATAATACATATATGTAGTTTACTTTTTTTCAGATTTATCGCAGTAGCTTATCGATAGCTGCTGTAATTAATACCTTTTTTGGCTTCATTTACATACAAAAATTAAAATGTAAATAATGAATCCAAACAACTAATTGCAATCGCATTTAATTTAAGCACTCATTAAAGTGCGATTACCGCCGCTGATAATTTAACTTTGTGGAACAGCCAGTAGCGGACAACAGCACTACATACACAAAGCACGAGCGAGAAAATTTATAAAACCAACAGCGAAAATATGAGTTGGCACGTGTTAACGGTAATTATAGGATTTTAGTATGCATAAATGCACAAAGACTTTTGTTTTCAGAATATTTAAAATTAAATCTATGCTACTAAATATTAAGGATTAACCTTAATTACTTCAAAGTTAGATATTTAATGTATTATACTACATAAATGAAAATGTTTAAATTTGCTGACATATAATTTATATAAAAACTGTACTAAAAATTTAGCGCAGTTGACATTAAGACTCCGCGCACAAAAATGCGAGTTAGGCTGGTCATAAAATTTAATATATTTTGATCATTTTTAGCAAAATCGAATTTCTCTGAAAATATTAAATTATGTTTCTCCCAACTTTGCATATATGTATGTATGTTAGACTGCATTACCAATAAAAGAAGTAGTTTTTCCGCCGGGATTACAAAATCTATTATATTTTAAAACTTCCGCCAAAATATTTCGGAAATATATTAAGGTTTACGTGAGCTGGACCGATTTTAAAATACCTCCGAAAATGGAGTTTTTATGAATAAAAATATTTTCTAAAAGGATTTTTGGAAAAAGATCCCCTCAGATAAGAAAGCAGTTTAAACTTAAAAAAACCCATACAAAAATATTTAAAAATTTTCTCAACGAAAAAAAATTTCAACGGAATCATAATAATGAGATTTTTTTTGCGTTTTTCAAAGATTTATTTAAGATTTAAACTTGAATAATTGGTCCAAAACTATACCGATATAGACTTGTGAGGTATCAGTGGAAAGGTATTTTCTCACCATTTTTACTTCTTTGCAAAAAAACTCATTCACATCCCAATGGTTTCTTTATCAAATACCAACACATCATAATTCAACGTGGAATGAGGCTCGTTTGTATTACCTTTCTTCTCTTTCAAGCTTTGAATGCGCTTATTTGCAAAGAAATGATAAGGGTGAGCAAATTCCTTTCCAATCATACCTCATAAGTCTGAATCGGTAAAGCTTATTCTGAGTTGTTCAAGTTTATCTTAAACCAGACTTTGAAAAAATTTAAGAACAACATGAAAAATCTCATTATTATGATTCCGTTGAAATTTGTTTTGTATATTTATATTCAAATTTTTTAAGCTGAAACTAGTTTGTCAGCTGAGGTTATGTTTTGCAAAACATATTTAAAAAAACTGTTTTTATGGACAAAAAACTCACTTTTTGAAAATATTTTCAAATCGGTCCAGCTCACGTAAATGTTTGTATTTTTCCGAAATGTTTTGGTGCAGGTCTTAAAATAGAATAGATTTTATGATTTCAGTGGAAGAATAGTATAAATATATATTTTTTTTTTTTTATGGGGAGTGCTGCAGTCTAATGCACGTATTATATACTTTTCATTGGATTAACTTCTTGCGATTCAGGCCGTATCCAATAGAGCAGCCCAGTCCTTTTTTTTTCTGTGCCAACTAACGCCAATTGGAAATGCCATGTGAAGCCAAGTCCTTTTCTTCACTGTATGGTTTTACATTGTAGCCGGTCATTGAACTAAAATGTTTGCTCTAAGTACTTTTGAGTACAAGTAGAATCGAGTGTTTTCTAGCGATTCTTTGAGTAGCATCATGTATTATCTTCGACACTTTCAATGAGTATAGGCAAAAGCACAATGGGGTTTTCAACCAAGTTATGGTTTAATTTTTTCATGGTCAATAAGCCGATCGTTAGAAATGTGATTTAAGTTGATCATTTGAGAACAAGTTCGTTTGTCTGGCTGTAGCTGTCAGCGCGATAGATAATTTTTTTTTTATCTTTCTCTGTTTTGGTTGTTCCTAATTACGAAAAAGCCTCTGTGAAGTACAGAACCAAATCAAGCGACGAAGAAAATTGATTCAAGTAGAGATGTTTGCTGTCGTTTGCTAATCCCGTTAGAGGCAACATGTTAAAATGATAATAAAATTTTTTATTTTGTATCACCGAATTATGAAAAAACATCTGTGAAGTGCAGAACATAAACGTATTTAAACGAAAAATCGCCAACCAAAAGCTCGGTTATTGTAAACAAAATTGTGGTTAAGATTACCAAGTATTGTTGAAAATATCAACCAAAAATCACATTGATTCTTTCCTTAAGAATAACCCTGGAAAAATTGTTTTTTTTTTTAATTCTGATTTTTATATTTAACGAATGGTACATTGTACTGTAAAGGTCTTGGAGTATTTTTGTAGAGAATCGAACGCAAGAATGCTGAATTCGACTTTGACCTCGAATAACTTTTGATTGAGTTGACTTATCGCAAAATAAAATATAATATCATTCATTAAATATAAAAATCAAAATTAAAAAAAAAAAAAAATTTTCCTGGGATATTCTTATGGGAAATCGATAAGTGTGATACGGATATTTTTAATATTAATTTTAAGGGTTCATATTTTCTGAGACTTATTTTGACGTCTAAACGAAAGCTTCGAGCATGGTTTCGAGGAAAAAAGACAAGTTTTTTTTTCTGAATCACCCGAATATGTATATATGTAAAACAGAGCGCATAAGGATAATGTAGGTCATGGTAGTGACGTGGCGATTGGCAAGGCGTGAAAATGTAGACAAACAAATAAAAAAAAATATATATGCTACACTTGCAATAATACTATAACAGTTCGAGTATGCATGCATATGTACGTACGTAGGTGCAAATGGAACTCAATACGCATGAGAAAATATCTTAAAAATCGTATGTATACACAAAGTACATTCAACAAGAAAATAAAACTGTTTTAAAAAATCCATAAAGTTTTTCAATAATAAGTTATTTAGTGCGCAACTGTATAGTTAGAACGGAAACTGATGCTTCATTCAAACAACATATCGAGCCCTAACCGCAAAAATAACGTACGCGTCATTTTTTTCAAAATTTTCTTTTTGATGCAGAAATATTCCTATATTCTCGATGCATTTCTGCATCAAAAAGAAAATTTTGAAAAAAATGTCGCTTACGTTATTTTGGCGGTTAGGGCTCGATATTGTCGCCGCCGCACACTGTGCCCTTTTTCTATTTTAGCGTGCCAAATTCCAAAATAAAATGGTTTCAGATGGCCGTGATTTTTGGCATTCTGGCTACTAAGTCCATCTAATAAATTCATAAGAAAGCAAGTAAGAAAGTCTAAGTTCGGGCGGAGCCGAACATTAAATACCCGGCGCAAGTATTAAATATATGTTTTCCACCTTTCCGAAAGCTACCGCTACATGATAAGCCGGGGTGTATAGATTTTAAGTAAATTAGCGTCCTTAAATTTCGAAATATTGAAATTTCAAGCATATCTGAAATTTACCGTTATATGAAATGCGGCCTCAATTTTAGTCCGATTTCAACAATTTTCAACGGTTTGCTTTTATGTGGCAAGCACAATAACCATACCGAGCTTGGTCCAAATTGCTGGAACGGTTAGCGAGATACATATATGTGATCCCAAGTGGGCGGTGCTACGCCCATTTTCCAAAATTTTGTCATAAACGTATTTCTTGGTAAAGAATTGTTGCAATCATCAATTTTGAATAAATTAGCTTCAATATTTACTGATTTATCGAAGATTTTGTATTTCTCGAAATTACCGTTATATGGGATGTGGGCGGTTACCAAGATATACACATGTAACCATAAGTGGGCGTGGCTACGCCCATTTGCCAAAATTTTTTAATATTCTTATTTTTCGTCTAAAACTCATTACAAATATCAATTTTTAGTGAATTATCTTCAGTAGTTACTAAAATATCGCAGTTTTCGTATTTCTTAAAATTACCGTTATATGGGAGGTAGGCGTGGTTATTATCCGATTTCGCCCATTTTCAATACCATCCGTCCCACGCCCAAAAGAAGTTCACGTACCAAGTTTCGTTAAGATATCTCAATTTTTACTTGAGTTATCGTGTGCACAGACGGACGGACGGACGGACGGACGAACGGACGGACAGACAGTCACCGCTTAATCGATTTCTCTTTTCATTCTGATCATTTATGTATACATTTGTCTATATCTATCTCGATTCGTTTTGCCTGTTACAAACAACCGTTATGTGAACAAAGTTATAATACCCTTGTGCACAAGTGCGCTCGGGTATAAAAACAATGTGACGCGTAAAAATATAATTTTTTTAGGGTGAAGTTTTTCGCATATTCTAAAGTGGCAGTACTTTTTTTTGCGAAGTTTTTTTAAAATAATTCTTTATGCGTGGTTTAGTTTCAATATCTTCTAATTTCTTTGCTAAGTTTCCAAGCTGTAGTAAAGATTGATAATTTTCTATATATTAAAAAAAAATAAAAAATTAAAAATAAATAAAAATAAGTAATTGTGAAAATATTAAGATGTTTACTGGAGCAAATCTTTCGAATCTAACTTCATCTAATCTGGTGTTTATATGCAAAC